AAGGAAGATGGAACAATTCAAATTTAAAATTTAAATACATGTAAATTAAAAAAATGATAGGATACAAGCGGAGAGAGGTGAGATGACGGTGTAAGGAGATCACACCGTCACAGTTTTATTGAAATTGGTTACCGGAAAGTGCGCGAAACAAACTTCATCCCCTAACTTTTTCTTCTAAGATTTTATTTAAATTTAAATGGGACTAATACCGTAATAATCTTTGCAACAAAAAGGAATTATCAAAATTGATTCCGGAATAAAAAGCTCGAGTTATCGCGTAACACATTTACAAACCAAAAAAGAACATTGGAATTGAGAACTTCCTCCTTTTTTTGAAGTATGTTAAAAAGGGTAAATTAATAACAGTGAAAAACTGTAATAGAAATAGAAATAGAAATAGAATACATTTATTACAAAACACCACAACACAATAATAAACAGTAAAAAATTAAAAGTAAAAAAAAAAAATTAAAATAAAACAGAACTAAATTAAACTTAAAACAAACTAAATTAAAACAAACAGAAAATGAATAACAGAAAAGAAAACTAAATAAAATTAATTAAAAATAAAATTTTGGCAATAAATAATTATTCGATCATAAAACTGGAAGTAGATGTTATGTGTGCGGCTGTGGCGTATGTAATAGGATCCACTCAGCTAATGTCACCGCCGGGACAAGGCTGTGACGCTGATTTTCAGTGGACCCTAAAACCGAGTGAGTACCGGACGTGTGTGTCGCGTTTAAACTAAAATAAATTACGTATATATTTCTATAATGTAGTATGGTGTGTTCTCTTATATTTATAAAATACTTAAATAATTCATTTGATACATATGTGCAGTGATAAGCATATGCAATGTAATGTCTATTATTTACAACAAACAAAAATGGGACTTATTTAGTTATAAAAGATATCAATTGCGAGATTTGTGTCACGTGGGCGACGCAAGACGAGCGGGTAGGCGCGCGAGAGGGGTCCCCGGCTCACGAGCCACAAAGCGCGGCAACTCCGTCCAGCTCCGTTGTAAGCAAACAGGTTTCGTCCTGTATCGTAGGTACTTACCACGCATAATAGTGTGCAGTCTCCTATGCCATAAAAGGTATGTACCAATATTTAAAACTTCTACCGATTGCAGATTATCATAAATAATTTTAATTGTATAATGAATTGTATATTAATTATGAAATATAAAAATTAAATAAGAATTGTGTCATATGTCAAATAGTAATAATCAGTAAAATTTTTCAGGAACAAAATAGACAACCGAAAATATTAGCGTAAAAATGCCATTAGCACTTGCCCCATCCCGCACGCAGAACATTGATGACGATGACCGCCGCACACCAATGCCATAAGTCGAAAACAGTACGGTGAGTGCCCACGTTAACTTATACGGTATTTTTTTGAATATCTAACAGATATTGTTTGTATTTTCTTTTAAACGTGTGCACCGTTTGTAGACTACGGAGTGGCGGCGGCAGCAAAACATTCCATATTTTCGCTGCGGCGAATTTGAAACTGCCACGGAATGCGGCGGTGCGACAGCGCGGCAGGACTAGCGACCAAGCTGACGCTCTGGTGAAAGCTGTCTTTACATCCCGGGACCATATCAACTCGTCAGCCAAATAAGACGGGATTCTGTATTTTATAACCCCAAACAGAACTGTAGCTAAGTGTAGATCTCTTCGCATTTTCATTTTCAAAATATTTGCGTTGTTTATGTAAGGGGTTACGTGCGTGCGTGGTGGTATATCAAAGCAAAACCTTGCGCAGGCGTTCTGCACTCGCTGAATTACTTGTTCCGTGCGCTTCAACAGTCGCGGCCCATACACCACGTCCATATAATTAAATTTTGACAGAACTAGTGAGTCACACAACTTAATGCGAATGTCGGTATTAAGGTAATTTCTGATGTTATATAATACCTTTAACCTATAGAAACAATTTTTGACGATGCCTAACACATGATTCTCAAAGTGAAGTGTTTCATCCATAAGGAGTCCAAGATTCCGAGCCTCAGTTACTCGCTCAATGTTCACGCCCCTGATCGCCAAAGTAACGTTACGACTATTAATTTTCGCTATTTGATTTTTTGTACCCAGCACCATATATTTTGATTTACAGCCATTTAGCACTAATGAATTTGAATCTGACCAGGAGGCTATACGTTCTAGATCCTCGTTTAACTTATCCACGGCTTCAGGAGTATCACATGGTTTACAAGATATATAAATCTGTATATCATCAGCGTAAATATGATACTTGCAAAATTTTATTTGATCTATGACATCCGCGCTGTAGATTATAAAGAGAATAGGGCCCAAAATTGAACCTTGTGGTACTCCGCGCGTAACGTCACGTGTTTTTGATTGTAATTTAGAACCACTAAGATCAGAAATTTCAACACACTGAGACCGATTTTTCAGATAACTTTCAAACCATTTGATGGTGGAGTCAGCAAATCCGTAATAATGCAGTTTAGCTAGTAGTAGGCTAACATTAATGCAGTCAAAGGCTCTAGAGAAATCCAGCAGTGTTAACAAGGTGCCCTGTCCATTGTCTTGTGCAGATAGGATATCATCAACTACTTTAATCATAGCAGTTGTCGTGCTATGTTTCTTACGAAACCCAGATTGTACGTTAGGAAGAACTTCGTGACTTTCTAGAAAGTTTGTTACTTGTTTTGCTACAATTGTCTCAAGGACCTTCGATACACAAGACAGTATGCTTATGGGCCGAATATCTGTCAAGTTGGAAGGGTTATTAATTTTAGGAATAGGCCTTATGACTGCATGCTGCCAGTCCACTGGGAACGTGTTGGTTTCAATAGATCTGTTCACCATAGCTGTAACAACAGGCAGTATGACAGGTAACGACAACCGCAACATGTCCAGTGATATCCCGTCGAGACCAACCGCGTTTGACTTTAATGATCGCATGATTTGCAGAATCTCATTGTCTTCTACTGTTGTTAGTGATAATTTTGTGTTTATCTTACTATTTTGCTGAAAATATGTTATATCTGATAGTAATGACTGTTGACTACCGGGCACATTCAAAAAGTGGTCGTTTATTAAATTAGGATCGTTAAAAATATGTGTAGGTAGCTCTGGTTTACTTTTTATGTTAACATTTTTTTTTATATGTGCCCATAATACTCGAGAATCTTTCTGCTTATTTACGTAATGATTGTAGTAAGCCTTTTTTTCACTTATCAACACATCATTAACAACTTTTTTGAGGTCCTTATAGTAAGATTTTTGCGAGTCATTGCCACTGTGTCGTGCCGCCGCATGTGCTTCGTCACGGCGCTTTACAAGTTGTTTCACATTGTAGGTAATCCACGGGTACTGGCGCTGTTTGGCATGTAATATCCGAAGGGGAGCATGTACATCGAACAAACCCACCAAACATTCACTGAATTGCCTCACCATGTCATTGACATCCTCTAAGTGGGTTATTCTCATCCAGTCTATGGTAGACAGATCCACATCGAACCGTTCGTAGTCGATAGTGTGAAGATTTCTGCGAGTTATCCGTACTGGTGTTTGTTTTGCCTTCACGATGTTTAATGTGCAGGTGATAAACGCATGTCGACTCAGCTCAGGTATATAATCAACTACTACCACAGTATTGTCTATGTCGGTGCTTATGGTGTCAATAAGTGTTTCACTGTACTCAGTGAAATGCGTTGGTGTAGTTACATACTGGTGCAATGTGTGGCTCGTCAGAAAATCTGTTAACTTTTTGGTGCTGCTATCCGTTATACTCAGGAGATTAATATTAAAGTCTCCCAACAATACCACATTATTGCACCACGAAAAACAGCTCAAACTCTCAGCTAAAGCATCTACAAACGTATCTACGTTAAGCCAGGGCGGTCTGTATGCAGTACCTACCAGTAACTTTTTTCCATTTACATTTACGCACAGCCACATTTGCTCAACGAGCGGAGCCGGTGGATGAGGTAGTGTACGGACAACAACGCCCCGTCGTATGTAAAACCCAACCCCACCGCCGCGCGAGCGCACAGCGGGCGGTCGGGGAATATGACGCAATCGGTAGCCAGTTACCGACGGCGCGCGGCCCTCTTCACCGTCCCTTAACCACGTTTCATTTATTGCCATGATATCTACGTCGTGTCGGTCCATGGCAACTATAAATTCATCGTGGCGTGTACCTAACGAGCCCACGTTTAATAAACCCAACTTAAATTTACGTTAAAATTGAATACGAATAATTAGAATAAACATTTGAGATAACTAATTTGTAGGCGATAAAAATAAAATAATAAGTGATTCCCATAGTGATTGACAAATGATAACATATTGATGAGATGACTAATAAGTCCTTTCCGTTGTGCAATAGTGTGTGTAAGTCCATTTTGCATATGTTGGAGTTTTGTTGTGTATATTCATATATGTAGTTAGTGTGTATTGCATGTTGAGAATTGTGTTTGTTATAATGCTGTAGATAAAGTATATTTATAATAATATGTAATGTTTGTGTGTATTTAGATTTGTAGTTAGCTGAATTAATAAATACATGAGAGTATAAATATAAAGTATAAAAATAATAAAAAAGTAAATTAGTTGTATATATGTAAATAAGTCTAAAATATTTTGCAATTATTATACAGCCACACACATGACTACGCACCATAGGTAATAGTAATAACAGACCTACAATAATATAAAAAATTAAGATGTGTGCATAGATTATAGTTATTATTGTAGTCCAGTTTCTGGTGGGGGGGGACAAACGCCATCGGGACCAAAAATTTTCACCAAATCGGATTCACATCGTATTCGATGAGCGGGGGCTCCGGCTTCCCTCCTTACGTAAATCCGGCCATCCCTGGTCCAAACATACTTCCACTGCAAACGACCTGCAGTTTGCCTGACAAGATAAAACAGGCGCCGGTTTATCGACGTTAGGCGCTCGTTGATATAGAAGGGCCGGGGTTCAGACTTCAAACCCAGGTTCTCAGTGGTGAGATGACGACGTACGCGCGCCCCACGCAGCAAGGCATCACGCGTGTCGCGACGGGTCAGCCGCAAGGCAAGTGGCCGCGGCCGCGCGCCCACCTCGCGCCGCGGGGCTCCCGTGCGCGCGCAGCTAAGGGTTCATCTTTCGTCGTTTGTCGTAGGGTTTGCAATTTCGCATCCCTACGACTTAATTTTCTTATTACATTTTTGTGACTCTTGCACAAATATTTTGATTAGCTTGGGTTTTTTTTTTTTTACTGCCTCTCAAGCAGAGGCAGTGGGTTCGAATCCCGGCTCGCGTCTCTGGGTTTCTCGAAACTTATATGGGAAATTTAATTTGAAATTCACCATGAGCTTTTCGATGATGAAAAACATCGTGATCCAGAACCTGCAGGTCGAAGAAGATTCACATCCCTCGGAAAACGTGTGAAGTCCCCAACTCATATAGGGCCAGCGTGGAGGACTATGACAAAAACCCTCGCCTGAGTGGGACGTATAAATGGGATGATGATCCATCACGATTTAATGCTCTGGGTGATTTGCAACTGTTATGGACAGGCCGCTTAGGTTATTGGGTTCTAGAGAGACGTTGTTTTTTCGGCGTCGGGAAGTAAACGTGCCTTACAGTTCCGCCACCAATGAGGAGATTTGGTAGTGGACTCAACAGAGTCAACGGCTAAGCGGTGGCAACCACTAGTTGTGCAATGCGCAACGGGAAGCGAGCGAGCCTACGGCTCCGGTACCTATCTGGAAAATAGCGAGACACTAGCCTCTCGAAGAACCGGACGAAGTCAAGTGACAGAGGTCTGTGACAATTCTGTACACTGGCTGATCTGGGGTCAGAACCTGAACTTATAAAGTTCCAGGTTATAGTGCCCTTCTCGTATGCCCTAAGATAAGGTAGGGAGGGTCACTATAATCAAAACTAACGTAGATAGATATGGAGCTTGTTATGGACAGGCGTGTCGCATACCACCAGGCGCATGACTTGTTCGTTGCATTACTTCATCATCATCATCATATCAGCCGAAAGACATCCACTACTGAACATAGGCCTCGATTACTTGGTATGATAAAAATAAAAAATATGAATCGTAAAGTAAAAAAATGCTCTTCCTAACCGCTCACGCGATTCATGCGTCTCTGGACGCATACCACACCTAGAGGTGCCGGTGATGATTTTATATCGATTTATCGGATATCGAAGTTATAACAGGTAAAAGAATCTAATACTAATTGCTATTTCGTTAACTACTCTAGCAAACCATAAAGTTTTTAATGTCGGGGTCTGTCATTAAAAAAAATAAACAACTTCAAAAATACGTCACGACAATCGTGTGCGTTATTGTTTGGGCTGGTGATGTCGGTGTTTATTTATTGAAAACATACCGTAAGTTGCGTTTTTAAAAGTTTACCCTGAATATAAATGTTTATAAACTATACTTTAAGGAGTAATTTCATGGTAAATATTAGAACCATTCAAACGGAATATTATTTACCCAAGTACACCAAAAATTTCATTAGTGCTTTTTAAGTGCAGGATTTGCGGTGTATTACTGCATTTTATTGGAGATATTTTTGTTTTAGTACGGAGGGTATTTATTTAACAATGCAGAATAATAATTTTTATTTTTAAAAACTTGTATTTAAACTGAATCCTTTTCTAATTTGTGAAACCAAATAGCCGCCATTTTGCGGTAGCATGAGCGCATCGCGTGAGCGGATAAAGCACCAAAAGACGAGCTTAACTCCAAAAACATAAAGGATAAACTAAAACCTCCTTAATAAATATGATAATTATGACATTTCAAATATAACTGTAATTTTACTATTATATGCTACTTATATTATTACATTACTATAAACTATAACGTTTGAGAATAAGGCTCAACTCACACTAGCGCAGAGTCGAAACGTCGCGTCGCGTCCTGTTTTTCAACTCCACCCCCAGGCGACGCGCGACGACACTCGCATTAGTGCGCCGGGATCACAGTTTGGTCGGCGTCTGACGCCTCACGGCGCCCAAGTGCGCCAAGCGCCGCTCGACTCCATATTTGCAAAACACAAATTTGTACCTTAATAATTGGAAAATATAGATGAATATGCTATAGGCGAAAAACATGACGCGTCGCGACGCTTCGACTCTGCCGCAGTGTGAGTTGAGCCTAAGCATTCTAATCCTAACTTTTTTACACTGACTAACTTATAAACATACTAATTTACTATTTTGAAAATTAAACATACCGTATACTAATTACGACAGAAAGAGTGGTTCATGTTAATGACTAAAACCATCGGTCAGTCGGGTGGGAAGGAGCGGAATATTTTCGTACCTACCCTATTCTTTGTGTTTATTATTGGCAATATGGTATGCAGCGGTGTACAGAAAAATCTTTAATAGGTTTATGTGACACCGCTTTATGTATTTTTTACTTATTGTAAAGCTATGTATGTTATAAAAAATAATAAAATAAATAAAGTAGGTAACAATTTGTATTAGTTATCGAAACAATTTCTTGCAAAAAAAAATTGCTAATACTCTTATAGAGTCTGTTTTAGATTTACGACTTAGAATAATAACGCATAGAAACCTAGCCCGCACACGCTAAGTGAGGCAAATTGAAGCGCTCCCAAAGGGCCTACACGTGCGAGCGGGCCTTCAGTGCTCAAGGTCAACTTACACCGCGAACAGCTCTAGAATTTTAGCTAAAAATGACGAAATGTGCGGTAAATCGGTGTAAAAATACGTCAGACAAACATAAAATAGATACTAACATCACATTCCACAAGGAAGTAACGCGTTTCAACTTGTATTTTTATATAAATATTCACTAAAATCGAAAATTAACGTACTACTAAAACTAGCCTACATGAATTTTATTTTTGCCTCACTTGTGACAGTTCGTTTGATATGAAACTATTATTCTATGCGTTATTATTCTAAGATTTACGATTACCGTGAAAAAAATCACAAGTAAGTTTCTTACGTTTCTAAAGTCTATAGCTTTCTTTTATACAAAACTTCAGTGGACAAGTCACAACTTCCCGTCTACCTACATCAAAGTCCAAAAAAAAAAGAAATCGCTAAAAAAGTAAAATAGAAAAGGAGAGGTTAAAAAGTAAAAGAATAATCTAAATAGTAAAAAAGAATCGCCCGAATCGAGTGGTGTATTTTTCAAAGTCAACGGCATGGCAACAATTCACGAGATCTTGCCTAAACCTTAACCCATTGAAGGGATGGGAAACTTTTTTGCAAGGTTTGTCTGAGTTAAAATTATTTAACAAAAGAGTCAATTCTTGATATCACTCTTAAAAGAGTGGCTTCACAGTTTCACCTACTACGATGTTGAAAAGATAACACCATAGGTTTTGCTCGCTTACAAACCACGTAAAATTTCTCCAAATAAAGAATTTACCTAATCTAGATTAGATTTAAAAATGAACGCACACAAACAAATCATAATTTTAACGCCAAAAAATTGTTCGATCCACAATTTCGTGTAAATAATTACTTTCATAGTTTCGGAGACTACATTTGCTTTCGGCCAGATGTCACTTTAGACAAAGATAACAAATGTTAAATTTTCTAGTTACTTTTTTTTGACAGTCATATCTTAAAATAATAATGTTTTTCAGAAATCGATTTGTTTTTTTTTTGTAGCTTTGCTTTTAACAATCCTCTAACGTAGTTATAATTCATTGTAATTATTATTAAATAATTACAATGAATTATAACTACTATATATAATTATAATTAATTATAATTATTTAAATAAATGTTGCTATTGACACATTTCTTCTTCTTTTCCGTAGCAATTTTGATAGAGCGGTCGTGGTCAACACGGAATACGTTTATTAGGGGCTGTTATGACTCGCTTCATGATATCTCGCCATCTCTCTCTGTTGGTGGACTCTCTGGTGCACTCTTTCGAAGGACTACATACTGCAAATTTTATTTGATCTGTCCTCTGCATGGGTCATCTTCCGCGCTGTGTAGCGCCCTGTACTCTGCTTGACAAGGCGGTCTATGGAGTAAATACTCCGTCTTGAGATGTGACAGAAGACTTTACTTATATGGAAATTAAAATAATTATCTTTTTAACAAAATAAACAATATTTTATTTATAGAAAAATGATAAACCAATAACAAAAAAATAATTTAGTTACAACCATGTAGCTATAAAAAGCATTTTAAATAGTCTGTTACATTCTTAAACGTCGTAACCTCCATTAATATAGGCACAAACAGAATTACTAGAAATTATTATAGGACAATCTATATTTAAACCTTTATTTTTTTTACTAAAAAAGAGTCTATAAATTATATTTTAAGCTTTAATTGCCCGATATTCTTGAAAAGTAAAAAAGGAATTTCATTCAAAAACGGAGTGACGAGGATGCAAATTTAACCGACGGTCGATGAACTAAGATACCTGACCCCGTAACCGACTATTTGGTTCTGAGTAGATCGGTGCGAAGAACGGAGTTAAAGAAACTGAACTTGTAACATGTAAATCGTAAAATTCATTTTGATACGACTTCCTTATTGCATCATTAGTAAATAATGTTTTAAGAAACTTTTGAAGCCAAATTGATTTTTAATTACATTACATGAATACAAATGTCAACCAAAAATCTGGAATTCCTTTACACTTTTCTGTTGAATGTGTAAGAAGGCTCTTAGAACCAACATTTTGGCTAGGAGTCAGGTATCTCATGGACATCGACTGTATGTCTAACACAACTGAATGTTAAGATCTCTTATTGAAAAAAATTACAGCACCGAAATTAAGCTGCTGAATTTTCAGCAGTTCTGGTGTTTTTATCAGAGACTTCGGAATCTTAATATTTCGATTTAAATGTTTTTGTTCATGTCATTTTCTAATAAGTCGTTTCAGTCACAATAAAATGTGACATTTTTATTGTAAAGGACAATGTGTCCATACAAATCATAAGATTATTTGTCTCATTATGAATTTATACACAAATCAGTTGCCTGACTCACTCATGTGAATAAGTTATGACCATCCCTTGATTGTTTTTTGCCCAAGGGTCATACCAGACTTATCGCTGTCCTCCTAAATGCGGATGGATGTGAGACAGAGTTTTATCGACTGTTACACACAGGATTTTTCCAACCCGTTGCGTACAAAATGGGAATA